CCTAGCACATTGAGAGCCTGGGGTAGGTGAATCACCTGAGGTCAGGAGTTTGAGACACGCCTGGCCAACATGGTGAAAACCTGTCTCTACCAAAAATACAAAAATTAGCTGGGCATGATGGTGAGCACCTGTAATTCCAGCTGCTTCAGCGGCTGAAGCAGGAGAATCACATGAACCCAGGAGGCAGAGGTTGCAGAGAGCCGAGATCACGCCACTGCATTTCCAGCCTGGGCAACAAGAGTGAAACTGCCTCAAAAAAAGATAAAAGAGAGAGATTTATACACCCATGTTCATAGAAGTATGAGTCACATGGTTACACATGCCTATAATTCCAGCTACTTGGGGGGCCGAGACAGGAGAATCGCTTGAACCCAGGAGGCAGAGGTTGTAGTGAGCCGAGACTGTGCCGCTGCACTCCAGCCTGGGTGACAGAATGAGACTCCGTTATTATTTTTTTTTTTTTTAATGTAGTCTTGCTCTGTCACCCAGACTGGAGTGCAATGGCGAGATCTCAGCTCACTGCAACCTCTGCCTCCTGGGTTCAAGTGATTCTCCTGCCTCAGTTTTCTGAGTAACTGGGACTGCAGGAGTGCGTCACTACGCCCAGCTAATTTTGTATTTTTAGTAGAGAATAGGTGTCACCATGTTGGCCAGGACAGTCTCGAACTCCTGACCTCATGTGATCCTCCCACCTCAGCCTCCCAAAGTGCTGAGATTACAGGCATCAGCCACAGTGCCCAGCCTGCCCAGCCTTTTATAAATAATTGTTTTTATTTATATACTTATTTAACTGTCTTTATTTATTTATTGACAGGGTTGCACTCCATCACCCAGGCTGGAGTGCAGTGCCACGATCTCAGTTCACTGCAGCCTAGACCTCCCAGGCTCATGCAATCCTCCCACCTCAGCCTCCCAAGTAGCTGGAACTACAGGCACACACCACCAAGCCTAGTTAATTTTTTAATTTTTGGTAGAGACAGGGTCACACTATGTTACCCAGGCTGGTCTTGAACTACTGAACTCAAGCAATCCTCTGCCCTCGACCTCCCAAAGTGCTGGGATTACTGGTGTGAGCCACCATGTCCTGCCTCATTCAGTTGTTAAAAGGAAGGGAGTTCTGACCTACGCTACAACACAGATGAACCTTGGGGACATTATGCTAAGTGAAATATGCCAGTTACAAAAAGCCAAATACCATATGATTCCACTTATATGAGGTGCTAAGAGTAGCCAAAATCATGGAGACAAAGTAGAATAGCAGTTGTCAGGGGCTAGAGAGAAGTGGGAATGTAAAATTATTATTTAACAGGTATAGAGTTTGTTTTACAAGATGAAAAAAAGTTACAGAGATGGATGGTGGTGATGGCTGCACAGCCTTATTAATGCATTTATTGCCACAGAACTATGCACTTAAAAATGGTTAAGATGGGGCTGGGCGCGGTGGCTCACGCCTGTAATCCCAGCACTTTGGGAGGCCGAGGCGGGTGGATCACGAGGTCAAGAGATCAAGACCATCCTGGTCAACACGGTGAAACCCCGTCTCTACTAAATATACAAAAAATTAGCTGGGCATGGTGGCACGTGCCTGTAATCCCAGCTACTCAGGAGGCTGAGACAGGAGAATTGCCTGAACCCAGGAGGCGGAGGTTGTGCTGAGCCGAGATCGCGCCATTGCACTCCAGCCTGGGTAACAAGAGCGAAACTCCGTCTCAAAAAAAAAAAAAAAAAAATGGTTAAGATGGCAAATGTTATACTATGTCTATTTTACCACATTAAAAAATATCAAAAACAAACAAAAAGTCTTAGAGGAAGTAAAGACTCAAGAGTATATCAGACAACATCCAACTAGGGGCACATACTTCCTCCAGTGACCCACTTGGCCCTATTTTAAGCACTTTCCTTCTTTCTTTCCTTCCTTTCTGTTCTAAAGCTGTTTAATAAACTTCCACTCCTGCTCTAAAACCTGCCGCAGTCTCTTTTGCTGCCTTATGCCCCTCAGGAGAATTCTTTCTTCTCAGGAGGCAAGGACTGAAGTCGCCACAGACCCATGAGGATACACCACCAGTAACAGGATAACCTGTATACCTGCCACAGGTAATATATTGGGTGCCATGACTCAAGATACATTCCCTAGTGGCCATTTAGATCCAGATGATTCTCAGTGAGGAATACTGTCCTCCCAATAGTCAAGAGTCCCCTATCCTCAGGGAACTTCTAGACTGCCCATCAGTGGGACGCAATAGAGGTGAATTCCTGCCCCTCTCCCTTGCACCTGGCTGGATATTGCTTTCACCAACTCATGGAGCCAGCTCAGCCCTGACAGCCTGTAAGAGGTCAAGACCCACAGAACTACCACCAACCCTCTGTCAGCAGGAAGCAGTTACGGATTCGTCCATTTTCCCCCAAAGTTTTGGGGTCATGGACTCTTGAGGAGGGAAAGGTTAGAGCAGTAGATAGCTAATCAGGTATGAGCAGAGCAGGAGAGGGCTCCCCGCTTAGACATACACCAAGCATGTTGGGCAACCATCAGGTGATGGTTAGGCGGTTGTTAACTGTTTCTCTAAAGCAATAACTGGTCATAGCCAGTGCCAGGGAAAGGCAATGTTCTAATAGATAGAAAACATCTAAAACTGATCAACAGCTTCTCAGTAAGATCTCAGGAGTGGGGAGAAGTGATGCAAGATCCTGGAAGTATGTCACCATACAAAGTTCCAAGTCAAGAGGTCAAGCTGTGCACTTAGTTTCTCAGGTTGTCCACTTGACTCTCTTCCAAGTTGTACTTTCTTTCTGTCCTTTCCCTTACTGTTCTAACACTTTTGCTTGTTTATTTGGGGGTTTTGGGGGCGTTCTTTTGTTTGCTTTTGAGATAGAGTCTTGCTCTGTTGCCCAGGCTGGAGTGCAGTGGCACAATCTCGGCTCACTGCAGCCTCTCTGCCTCCTGGGTTCAAGCGGTTTTTCTGCCTCAGCCTCTGGAGCTGCTGGGATTACAGGCACACACCACCAAGCCCAGCTAATATCCTTATTGTTTTAAAGCTTTTTAATAAACTTTCATGCCTGCCAAAAAAAAAAAAAAAATACACTAGGAAAACAACTCAGCATGTTTAAAATAGAGAATTTAACACAGACAACTGGTTACATAGGTGATGGAGGAGCTGAGATGCCAAATAAGGAATTGTGAGGCAACCTATCCATTACCAACAGCAAGAAGTCATTATGACCTAGGCTAAAGAGACAAAAGAGGAGTGCAGGATGGTGGGTCGCCTGGCAGAAACTGGAAAGCCAATGGGGTTGTGTAGGAGGAGCAAAAACCATAGCGGAAATGCAGCTGTTGACAGAAGGAGGAGGAATAATACTCTTCGCTTTCTCCCATCCTCACATTCAATTTCTCACTAGTGTCTCCCAAACTCAGCCAGAAGACAACAAAGTAGACTGGGAAACACACAAGAGGCAGTCCCCTTAAAAGAAAGAGCAACGGAATATATCTGAGAACAGATCCTGGACTAGCATAAAATTCTGTTCAGAAAAAATTTTCTGCCAGGTGCAGTGGCTCACACCTGTAATCCCAGCACTTTGGGAGGCAGAGGCAGGTGGATCACGAGGGCAAGAGATCGAGACCATCCTAACATGGTGAAACCTTGTCTTTTCCTCGTTAGTATAGTGGTATAAAAATGAAAAAAAAAAATAAGGAAAAAAAAAAACCCTGTCTCTACTAAAAATACAAAAATTAGCCAGTCGGGGTCGCGTGTGCCTATAGTCCAAGGTACTTGAGAGACTGAGGCAGGAGAATCACTTGAACCCAGGAGGCAGAGGTTACAGTGAGCCGAGATCGCACCACTGCACTCCAGCCTGGCAACCGAGTTACACCCCATCTCGAATAATAATAATAATTTTCAAGCCTAGAAAGTTCAACACTAATGATTATTTTGCAGTTATAAATCCTATACAGGCCAGGCGTGATGGCTCACACCTGTAATCCCAGCACTTCTGGAGGCTGAGGCAGGCAGATCACCTGAGGTCAGGAGTTCAAGACCAGCCTGACCAACATGGAGAAACCCCATCTCTATTAAAAATACAAAATTAGACAGGTGTGGTGGCGCATGCCTGTAATCCCAGCAACTCAGGGGGCTGAGGCAGGAGAATTGTCTGAACCCAGGAGGCAGAGGTTGCAATGAGCCGAGATCATGCCATTGCACTCCAGCCCGGGCAACAAGAGCGAAAATTCCGTTAAAAAATAAAAATTCTGCCAGGCACAGTGGCTCACACCTGTAATCCTAGCACTTTGGGAGGCCGAGGTGGGTGGAGCACCTGAGGTCAGGAGTTCAAGACCAGCCTGGCCATCATGGTGAAACCCTATCTTAAAAAAAATAAAAATAAAAATAAAAATCCTATACAACTGACCAAACTTGAATAACCCCTTTTTTAAGAAAACTTTTTTTTTTTTTTTTTTGAGTCTGAGTTTCGCTCTTGTTACCCAGGCTGGAGTGCAATGGCGCGATCTCGGCTCACCGCAACCTCCGCCTCCTGGGTTCAGGCAATTCTCCTGCCTCAGCCTCCTGAGTAGCTGGGATTACAGGCACGCGCCACCAGGCCCAGCTGATTTTTTGTATTTTTAGTAGAGACGGGGTTTCACCATGTTGACCAGGATGGTCTCGATCTCTTGACTTCGTGATCCACCCGCCTGGGCCTCCCAAAGTGCTGGGATTACAGGCGTGAGCCACCGCGCCCAGCCAAGAAAACTTTTTTTTAACCCAAGAAAATTTTCACTCACTTTAACTTGATTGAAGTTTAACACTTACACACTGTGTTACAGTTACTTTAAAACTTGTTACACAGTATTAGTTCTAAAGTTTCTGTACTGTGGTTATGCTACCTTTATTTTGAAAATGGAAAAATTACTATAAGAGAAAGTAATCTGACTAAAGTAGAGGCTCTCTTTTGGGAATCAGGTCAACTCCAAACAAACAATTAATTCATATGTCCCAAAGAAGTTAAAACCATACCATTTAAATCTGCATTTTCAAATCTGACCCAGACTATTTTCTCCTTTTCTTCTGTTAGAGGTGTTCCACTGTAAGCCTGTACAGTAAACAGAAACATTCGAATAAACATATTTTACAGTTTTAATATTATTGATGTTCAAAATAAACAGTGACTTAAAGCCAACACTATACTTCTCCAACTTCACCAATGCTAAATCTTGGTAACTAGAACATTTGGAACCTTATTATCCCCAAAGAATATTATCCATGAGTCTGATAACTTTGGTCAAAAGAGTTTTTAACTTATTAAAAGAAATGCAGTTTGGGCAGCTGTAATCTCGGCACTCTGGGAAGCCGAGGCAGGCAGACCACTTGAGGCCAGGAGTTCAAGACCAGCCTGACCAACATGGCGAAACCTTGTCTCTACTAAAAACACAAAAAATTAGCTGGGTTAGGTGGCACATGCCTGTAATTCCAGCTGCTGGGGAGACTGAGATACTAGACCTAATGGCTTGAACCTGGAAAGCAGAGATTGCCATGACTAGAGATCGCGCCATTTAGAAGTAAGTCTTGCAAAATGAGGCTTATATGCTCAGCCTGGACCACTGAGCAAGACTGTCTCAAAAAAAAAAAAAAAAAACAATAATCCCTTATAAAGCATTACTATAATTCAAAGGCACACAAAAAACTAACCATCTCCTATACTGGTCAACAAATGTGGCTCAGAAAACAAAATTTGTGGCAATTATACTGAACCCATGCTTTTCAAGAATATTATTGTACTTTTTAAATCTCTTATCAGGCTTCCAGACCCAACCTATCGGCTTATTCCTGGAAGCCTTCAAAGGTCACAAAGATAAGCATTAACAGGATTTAAAAAGATTTAAAGATTTAAAAAGAGGCATCACTCCATAAAGCATGTTCTTTTTTTTTTTTTTTGAGACAGTCTCATTCTGTCACCCATTCTGGGGTGCAGTGGCATGCTCTCAGCTCACTGTAACCTCCACCTCCTGGGTTCAAACGATTCTCCTGCCTCAGTCTCCTGAGCAGCTGGGACTACAGGCATGTGCCACCATACCCAGCTAATTTTTTGTATTTTTAGTAGAGACAGGGTTTCACCATGTTAGCCAGGCTGGTCTTGAACTCCTGACCCCAGGTGGTCCGCCCTGCCTCAGCCTCCTAAAGTGCTAGGATTACACAGGAGAGCCACCATGCCCTGCCCAAACTACCTTTAAAAAAAAAAAACACCAGCTTAGGCAACATGGAAAAAATCCAGTCTCTACAAAAAGAAAAAAATCTGAGCACGGTGGCATGCACCCATAGTCCCAGCTACCACAGAGGCTGAGATGGGAGGATCAGCTGAACCTGGGAAACTGAGGCTACAGTGAGCCATGATAGTGCCACTGCACTCTAGCCTGGTAAGAATAAGACTCTATCTAAAAAAAAAAAAAAAAAAAACTGTCCCCTAATATTAATTATCTAATCAAATCTGACATTTACATTTCTCAAAACTACAAAACTAACACTGGTGCATTACTATTAAATCCCAGACATTATTTGAATTTCACAAGTTTTCCCACTAATGGCCCTTCTCTGCTCCAGGATCCAATCCAGGATGCCACATTGCATTTAGGACAATTTCCTTTTCTCCTGTATCAGGCTTTCCTTTCCTTTAACTTGGTGAAGCAATAACATTTTCAAATTCTTCTTCCCATTAGCGGACCTATTCCTTTCCAATATGTTCAAGATGCTATCCTTTGATTTCTCAGTGATATGCAGAACAAAACAAGGTCGAAGGTCTTTCAGTGTATCGAGATTCTTGAACCTCTTTTTGCTTTCCCTATGAGTGGGAAATAACTCTTGCAAAATGAGGCTTATATGTTTTTAATATGTCTTCAAGTTTTCCTCTCTCCTTAGTGGACATGGTGTTTTTTATTAAGCATTTTTTAGAACATTCTGAAAAGCTGACTGAAGCACCTGAGCTCTGCTTCCTGTGTTCCTTACTACAGCTTTGCACAAAGAAGGTATAGCACATCATTATTTGCCTCTCACCTTATTATGATCTCCTTTTCCAGTGCTTAGACATTTTATTCTCAGTGAGACACAGACTCACCATTGCCCTTCTAGCTTTCACCTGACATCTTAAAAAAAGAAGTTTCTTTTTGGGTTTTTTTGTTTGTTTTTGTTTTTGCTTTTGTTTTGACAGGGTCTGGCTCTGTTACCCAGGCTGGAGTAAATTGATATGATCTCAGCTCACTGCAACCTCCACCTCCTGGGGGTTCAAGTGATCCTCCCACGTCAGCCTCCCAAGTAGCTAGGACTACAGGCATGCACCACCACACCCAGCTAAATTTTGTATTTTTTGTAGAGATGGGGTTTCGTCATGTTGCTCAGGCTGGTCTGGTACTCCTGGGCTCAAACAATCTTCCCGCCTAGACCTCCCAAAGTGCTAGGATTATAAGTGTCAGCCACCACATCCAGCATCACCTGATGTCTTTACAGAGGTCAATATACTGCCACACAACATTTTTTCCTTTTCCCCCGAGCACTGATTAAAAGTCCTTCTTCAAACAAGAGCAACCAATTTAGCCTTCTTATTTAGAGTCAAACTTTCACATCACTACTGAACAGATTTACTTCTTCTTTTATACCTTAACACTGGTTTCTAACACACATACATATACTCATAAGTACAAAGTTATTTTTCAATTTTACATAACATAGCTATAATCATTTTAGGTATCATTCTATATGTTGTCTTATTTGTTCACCATAGAGAAAATAATTTCCATAGTGTACTAGTGTCATAAGTATAATTTTTATTTACAGCACATTATTCTGTAGGGACCGTGATATATCATCATTTGCTTGAGTATTAATTGACATTTAAGCTGGCTACAAGTTTTTACACTGAAAATGTAAAAATGTCACATATACTGAAAAGTTCTGAGCTTTAATCTTTTCTTTGCTGAATTATTTTTTTAAATAAATTTTCAGCCAGGCACAATGGCTCACACTTGTAATCCCAGCACTTTGGGAGGCAAGGTGAGAGGATCACCTGAGGTCAGGAGTTTGAGACCACCCTGGCCAACATGGTGAAACCCTGTCTCTACTAAAAATACAAAAAGTACCCAGGCATGGTGGCACATGCCTGTAATCCCAGCTACTCGGGAGGCTGAGGCAGGAAAATCACTTGAACCTGGTAGGCGGAGGTTACAGTGAGCCGAGATCATGCCATTGTACTCCAGCCTGGACGACAAAAGCAAAATTCCGTGTCAAAAAATAAATATGTATTAGAAATATGTACGAAAAAATAAAATAAATAAATAAATTTTCATAAGTGAAATTATTAGATCTAGACACAGCTAAGGGCAACTACCAGCCATCAATGCTAACACAACTAGAATCCAATGGGTAATAACCAAAGCTGCTGTTGCCAGTCCAACAACACATTCTCTACTTAGGAAGATATTTGCAGACTCAGAGAATATCTAGGCTCCATGAATTTGATGATTCCCAGAATACAGCAGGAAGTAGAACACAATATTGGCAGAAAACATTATTTTTATTTATTTATTTTTTTTAAAGATGGGGTTTCACTATGATGGCCAGGCTGGCTTTGAACTCCTGACCTCAGGTGATCCACCCACCTTGGCCTCCCAAATGCTAGGATTATAGGCGTGAGCCACCGCACCTGGCCGAAAACATTATTTTTTAACATCTGACCACAAAGTACCAACACAGCATTCTGAATTAATGGGGGAAAAAAATTAGAAAGCACTGTTTTCACGTCAACTAAACAGTAGAGAAAATGTCTAATATAACAAAAGTTAACTCCCATTATTGCTTTCCTAAGCAAACTATGGTCGGTAGGTGCTAAACTGATGATATCACACCATCACAATTAGAAATTGTAATGTATTTGGCTCATCTGATTATTTTGACTACCGATTATATGCCATAAAGCTACATCTCTACCCTGGATCTCCAGTCTCTTCATGCTCCCGCCAGGAAAGACTACTTAGTATTTGCTTGGCTCTATTTTATGCTTTACATACATGACACCCTTTAAGCCTCAAAACAAACACATGATAAATAAGATGATTAACCCCAGTTTATACATAAGAATACTGATGTTTAGAAAGATTCAGTAACTTGTCTAGAACTGGTAAGATGCAGAGCTGAAATACAAAGCCAGGTCTAATATCAAAGTCTGTCCTCTTAATCACTAAGCTACTCTAAGCCCAATGTGCAAAATGTAAGTTATAACGTTCTTTGCCAAATAAAGCAAACATCTTCTAGGATCCTACTGTCCCCATTATATTCCCACTCAATTTATCATCATTGGATTTACTCCACTCTATTCCTCAATTCATATGGCATCTCATTATTAAGCCTTCTTTGATGTCCTGGAACTGATTTTAGTTTTCCTTCTCCTAATATTACCATGACGCTCTGTTCCTTTTCTCCTTTTTTTCCCACTCAGCTTTTCAGGTTGAAGGCACTTTGTTTTCTAGGATCCTCTCATTAAGCTGGGACACTGGATCTATGAATGTCCTTTCTGAAAAGTGCAGTTACAGATACCCTTGGTAGTTGAGGAAGACTACGTAACAGGCTGGGCGCGGTGGCTCATGCCTGTAATCTCAGCACTTTGGGAGGCTGAGGTGGGTGGATCACCTGAGGTCAGGAGTTCGAGACCAGCCTAACCAACATGGAGAAACCCCATCGCTACTTAAAATACAAAATTAGCCATGCCTGTAATTTTGTATTTTATTTTTATTTATTTATTT